TAAACAGCTAATAATTGCTCTATAACACACTGTACGGTTTTGTTCGTGTGTATGATTATTGATCATTGAATATGATTTCAGTGGTATATTTATTTACAATTTATGTACTAATCATGCATACTTGCGATAATTAATAATTATGCTCATTAACCACATTAACACTTAGAATGTTGATGTGGCTGTAATGACTTTAGGGCAAACAGTACATTTTTTTAACAGTTCATCAATTCTAAACAAAAACAGTTAAAGTAAAATAGGTCTGTATTTATAGAGCAACTTTTGAAGTCTTGACGACCACTCAAGCTTTTTACAGTACAGTCTTGCCATTCACCTATTCATACATTCATACAGTGCATCTATGTGCAGCACTTTCTCGGTCCCACATCACTCAGCAGTAGCTGTCAGGGGTATTTCAGGGTTCAGTATCTTGTCCATGGACATGAGCATGCATGTAGGAGCTGGGAATCAAACCACCAACCTTCTGGTTTGGGGAAGATCCTCCTGCTACCACTAAAGTTAAGTTTTTCTTATATCAAAACGCTTTGAGAAGGTAGTTACATTCGTAGATATATTTGTGCAACACTTTCACATTCATTTAGTCTCCTCAAGATAAAAAAGGTAAAGTATTCAAAGTCAGCAACAGCAGGAGAGTACAGCTGCATTGCTGAAATATGGTGCCTGATGAAGGTTTATGCCAGGGAGTGACGAACATATAAACACTTCCAAACAGAAAGCATGTTTATGTTCGGTCCCAAGTTTCCGCGTTAATCTCCTATCTATTTCACTCGCTGTAATGAGGCCGACCATCTGGAGCGCACGGGCAGCTGCTGTCAAAGGAGATCAACGTACAGCAGACAAGCAGGAGGACACCAGAGAGCCACAGACTGAAGGAGTGGCTGCAGGTGGACAACAGTTTAAAGGAGTGGCAGGAATTATGATGAAATGATAAAAAGATGGCAGTCAGAGACGTGCAGGAAAGATGAGACAGAAAGAGTGAGGCTGACTGCAGTACCCCATGTGTGGCTGATTAAATGCGAGGACTGGGACAACGTCACATGCAGTCAGTGTGGGATTCCTGATGCGAATGCGCAACAAAAACCCTGCAGGCGTCAGATGCTAAACTTGTCTGTGTGCATGTGCAAATCCTTTCACAGGGCCGTGGATACACAAAGTAACACATGCACGCGTTCTTCAAGCTTTCTCTGCCTGCTCAAACAGTTTACACAGGGCTATAGAGAGAGTATTATTTAGGTATTAATAGAGTTCTGAGTGTAATACCACGGGGGCCACAAGTACAAGGAATGGATTAAACAATTTTCATCTTCTCAAATAAGCTGCAAACGATAGCATGTCTGGATAACTAACTAATTACTTTAAAGGCCCGGGAGGATTTTATAACTTAACTACATTAGTTTGTGAGGTTACGTGAAACAAACTGCACCAATCACAGATAAGAAATCTGTTGTGTAGTATATGTGTGGAACCTGGTTCTGGAGGTTTACTCTGTAGAACCAGCTTGTAACTTGGCATGACACAACATTTGCCAGACAAATCGGCCACTCCTTAACTGAAAATACTTTTTTCTTGTTGCATTAAAAATTAATAGCAGAATTTAACCTCTGACTTGCTTGTTTGAGTGTGTACAGTACACTGAGCAGCCAAATGGGGGTAAGTTAGAAAGACACTGAGAGCCAGAGTCATGACGTTACTATAACTACTGATGTTACTTATTCAGCATTTCTTTATTGTGTCTTTATGAAAACTTAATGGCTTTAAGAAAATTACATGATTACTTTGCAAACACAGAAAAAGCTACGGCTTCTGCAAAAATAACAAGATGTAACGTCAGCTGTCTAAAAGCATCAATATCCTCTGTAAACTCAGTTATTACACACACATGAACCAACCACCCATACACAGCTCGCTCATGGTCGCACCTCTTTTGTCGAGTTGTGACATTGTTTTATCAAATAATGATATTACAATCAGCAATGACATTACTAATACTGCTGCTGTTGAAAAGACTCTGATCCAAGGCTGGAGTTTTAATGATAAGCGTAGTTATAAATGTTTTTGTTACTTCTGGATCCAAACCAGGAAGTTGTGATATCATTTTTTAAATGGTTAAACCAGGGACTCACCTCTGTCTCCAGCATCTTATTCTCATCAGTCATCTGCTCAAGTGACAGAGCCGTCCCCTCTGACTTCTCAGTGGCCTGAAGAAGATACAGAAAATGTTTTCATCGTTTTGCTCTGCCAAGAACACAAAATCCTGAGATCTAAAGAAAACAGGACCACTTTCAATAATTGTCTTTTCTAAAATTATTTGAGAAAATCTTTATGAATTTCATCTTTGGTTTTGTGTATAGTCTGGGTTTTTATATCATAATATGTCTGTTTTCTGAATTCTGTTGAAAATGGATAATAAACCTTTTAATTAATGCAACAGTCATTTGAACCAATGTTTTTTTGGCCACTTGGGGGCAGTGGAAACACAGCAGAGCAGTAGCTTTAGATAAGACGCATATTTCCACCATATCAAGTTTATATAGTTAAGTCATTAGCAAACAGATACTTATTTCCAGATTAGGCACACAGCGAACAAAATTTGCATTCATTTGTACTCATGTCAAATATAAGTCTGATATTCACTCTCATTTAGCTCTAGTTTGGTCTACTCCAATTCCTGAGAAGAATACAAAGGCGTCCAAAAGGTTCCCTCTGCTCCATTATGTTCACCACTATCTCTAAATACGTCTCTGAAAACAGCTGCCCAAACTGATGCTAATGAGAGCAGTGAGAGTGAATCAACACATGAAGTCTGCTGTAAAACTGAAACAAACTCAAACCCATTAAAGTATGCGACGCACTTCATCACTATAATCGCAAATAATTAATGAGATCTGTTGTTGTCGTTAAATATTGATTGGAGCAGCAGTTATAATCCTGTTTTGCAACCAGACAGCTAAGCAGCATTATGGAAATTTCAAACATTAACTTCCAAGTGTGGACATATCGTCAAAATCACTCTTAAGTTGAAGCCAAAGTCAAGATGTAAAACATTAGCCTCAAGGAACAGAATTCCATTTATAACCACAAAGGTCAAAGGTCAAATATATCTTGGCTAAATAAAGAAACAAGGCTCACTGAGTCCCTCAAGATTGTTCAGTTTCACTTTTACACCCTGTGGGGAAACAGAACAAACAAGACTCTAGTAGTTGTGGTTGTAGAAAAGCAGGGGACATGTATGATAAGCGGATGCCATGTATGCACTGCTGTTTTAGCCTGTATTAATCCTAAATGATGGTTAAGGAGCCTCTTTCTGCTGCTAAGACGTCTGACGTGCAGAAACACTGACTACTAGAAATATACGAGCATAAATACTGAATGAGTTAAAGCACAGTGTTCCTGTATTTTCTTTATATAAGTAATGAGTTCATACAAGAACACAAACAAACAGTTTATTTTGCTCATGTTGGCAGGCGATGAGTTTCCCTCTGAAAAAGGACTTCAGGGATGTTGGTCTGGCAAATATAGTGAACATATAGGAATTTCTCACCTCATAAAACATCTGCAAAACTGCATTAATGCCAAAAAGCTGCATTAAAACTATTATCGACCAACAGTCAATATTTCACCTCTGTCATTTGTAAAGGCACAAATGTGTTATCTGACAAACCCCTGTAAAGCAATACAAAACATCTTAGAGATCCCTCCACTTCATCTGACATGAATTAATGGATGATTCTGCAAACTTGATTATTCATACAATGCTTTCATTGTGTAAGTGTAACAATTAGGTTTTGATATGCAGCCACAGCTGATGTACTTTGCGTAAAGCTATAATTAAAAAAAAGATAAGTGGTCGTATTATTTAATCCACATGGGAATGAGCAGATTGTGTGCATGTGTGTATGTAATGTTTTAACAACACTAAATTAGCCTGAGGAGAAAGTCAGATTCTTTTACTCTATGTGAAAGAATTCTTGAGAGGTAGGATTAGTTTAGGAGGGATCATTGAAAGTCCCAAAAAAAGTTAACAATTAGCATAATCAGAGCAATTACTTTTCCATATCCTTTCACAGAATCCCAACAATAATTTGCTAAGACTGAGCTACCTTGGTGGGAGTCTGCAAATGCCAACACACTGATTCATCGTCTACATACACACATTATTCAAGCTGCCGTCGGAGGCCGCAACAGGAGCAAGTTTAGCTCTCGGGCTCTTTTCTGTGCACTGCACGTACAACAATAAGAAGACTGGTAACATGGGGTCAAGAGTGTTGTTGTACCAGTATCGTGCACTGAGTTGTGATACCAGGAGATTATTGTAATACATAAACTAAAAACTCACAACATGCAGCGGTAGAAAAACAAAAATGTGAATAAATACTCTTTAACAAGCAGAACACCTGCGTTCACAATGTATTTAAATAGGAAAGTAAAAGTATTAATTTTACAGTAAAGTGTATCGTGACATTATTACATTTTTGATACAGATGCATCGTTGGTTCTGCAGCATTTTATTCTACTAGCTCCCCTTGGTTCAACTTCAACTTTCAAGGTGGAGCTGCTTTTGATGACTTTGTATGCAGTTATGAAGTTTTAATGCACAATGGGGGTACTCAAGCTACGTCCAAGCACTTCAAAGTACACCACTTGAGTAACTGTACCAAGTGATTTTCCTCAACATGTGTTAACCTACCTGTGTCAGCTGGACCTTCAGCTCTTTCTCTCTACACTTGCTCTCCTCTTTCAGGGTCTGATAGTCTTTCTTCGACTGCTCCACACTCTGCTCCAATTCTGAAAGACAGCAGAAGGTCATCGACTGTTATAAAATCTTGAAACAGAAATAGATCACTTACTATTTAATGAGCATAAAGATGGTGGATATAGATCTGTTTACCTTGCATGGTCTTTGCTGTCCTCCTGTTTTCCTCCTCAGCTATCTCAAGCGTTTGTCTCTGAAATGGAGAAACATCAGCTTGACTACGGGATAATCACTTACATGGCAACATTCTTGTACCTTGAGCTAAGCAGGCAGTAATGAGCGAATCCAGAGAACATGCAAAGTTTGTGGATGAAATAACTCTCTTAATGAGGCCACTTTATATGCCCATGAGCAAAAGACCTCACAGTGAAAAAATCTGTAGTAACAGACATGCATTTCTTAGCTACATTTAAACAAACTCCGTAGGATGTTTTTGCAATTGGATCCGGACTTTCTCCAGAGTTTGTCTTTTTGACATGAACAATGCAGCAGATGCTCAGCTCAGACGCGTTCACATCAACACTGAAATCTGTATCTGTCGCGTGTTAGCATGTCTGGAAGTAACTTAGGTCAGTCTCATTTACAAATCAATGAATGGTAACTGAGAAGCCTGAAAATACTTGTGATTTATTGTGAAACTGTAGCAGGTCAGAGGATGTCATCTGAGTGGGCGGTCCATCATATGTGGCCCACGACATATTTGCATTCACACAGCAAAAATACTGTGGCCACGTGTGTCCCAGACCACCTCTGAAAGTGGTCTGAGTGATCTCAGGATGCATTTGGGTGCATTCAAGTACAGAACACTCAAGACTGGTGTTCGTGCCAGGTCTGAATTTAATGTTGAGTTTATCAGAGCTGAGCTGTAATAGAAACTTGTGACATTGAGGCTTTGAGCACTGAGGAAACAGCATATCTTTGGACAATTACTTGCTACTCATGACAAAATGATTTTTCTTTTCTTGTTTTTCCATTCCTTGTTTAAAATAAAACAATAAAATGAAAAAGTCACTAAAGCATTGAATGTCACTGTATCTTTCTACTGTGTTTATTTGTGTTTATTAGAGAGGCAATATATTAGTTTCTTTCTTTCTTTCTTTCTTACCATGCTGCTCAGCTGCTGTTCCAGAGAACTCTTGTCCTGCTGCACAGACTGAAGCTCCTTCTGTTTGCTCTCCAGGTCAACGCTCAGCTCACTGATCTGTTGTGGAAACATCCAGTGCACACATGTACATCTATAAAAAATGCATTTTCACAGTAGCAAAGCACACTTAACAAGGACATATGCCTATTTGCTAACGTTTCCCACAAACCCTTTTCTCTTGAGACTGTGCCTGGGCCTTGAGGCTGCTAATCTGTTGCTGGGACAGAGACACAGCATCCTCCTTCTGCTGGGACGCCCGGAGCCTGAGCTGGAGATCTGCCACCTCCCTCTCCAGCTCCATGATCCTGGAGCGCTCAGACACAGTGGCCACCTGCGGCAGAACGTGCAGAGAGGGGGCATGAGTGTGAAAGAGGATACAGAAGAAGCTGACAGAGGAGAAGAGACCTGGATTTTATAATGTGAAGCACATATGAGGAACTCTTTTGACCTGTCTATTGTAATGTGAGGGAGCAGTGCAACTGAATCAAAATGAAGTAAACATACAATCAGCTACAATCATTACATTTTATATTCTTAGAGAAGTCATGAACCTGTGGTTGAGCCATCCTAACATGACCATGATTCTAAATGTTTACTTACCAAACTACTGGAAGTCGTTGGAGAAGTGTTTATGTAAGTAAATCTCCTGCTTTCTAAATTTTATAAATAAATCTATGCATTTATGAACTATAGGAAATATCATAATCACACACTATGTTTTTTTCTGGCTTATTCCTACACACATACTGTCCTGCTGCACCAAATTTCCGTTAAAGTACCAAATTTGGATTAACCCGCATTTGAAAATAGTCTCCAACAAATGAATGTTTCCTCCTGATGAGACTTGTTTCGAATAAAACTATATATTTGAGAGGTATTTTCTAAGTTTTAAATCTTTGGGAGGAACCAATGAGTTTGGGGCTGAGTGCAACGGACAGGGCAGAGAAGTTTGAACATTCAAAGAAAGACGTGACTCATTGTTGGTCTTTTCATGGGATTTGCTGCAGAGGAAATGATGCCAGCCTTATCCTTTAAGTCCAACAATGTCAAAGCACAGGCATTTCCAAAATGGGTCCTTTAATAGGACTTTCATGCACACATGCATCATTTTCAGGAATATGGCCCAGGGTTATTGGAAAAGCACAAGGCCAATGAGCTTTAAGCATCACTATGCCAGAGCTAGTTGGATGAGGCTACATCGGAGGCACCTTCTGATAAATAGGACAGTTTACATAATGTTTGCACTGTGGTTGCTTTAACATATCAAAAATCACATCACTCAGTCCTGCGGTCGGGCTGGGACAGCCAGCATTACCCTAGTGTCCTCTAAATCCCTCTGGAGTTTTTCAGCTTTGGTCTTTTCAAAGAGCAGGCTCTGCTCAAGCTCCTTTATGTGGGCATGCTCCAGCCTGGTCTGCGTCTGTTAGTAAGAGAGAGCAGGAAGAGGAGAACAAACCAATGCAACACTGACATGCCAGCCAAGACTTTAGAGAAAAGAGCAGTGAGTTGGTAAGAAAGCACTGATGGTTCCAATCGTTTCAATTACATCAGTTGGTTGTGCTTATTCTGCTCAGAGGAACATCAGCAATTAACTGTTTTGATTATCTCATTCTGACTCTCATCTTCTTCAGAAACTTTTATTTCTCTTCTAGTGGCACCTGAAGGGGACTAATCCAGGCAGGAAGTCCTCACAAGAGTGACAAAGAAGCAGATAAAGAGGAGGAGGATGGAAGCGCAAAGGATGACTGAAGACGAGGCAAGACAAAAACAGCTTTCAAGAAGAGGCATATGGATGAGAAGATGATGAAAGGATAGTTATATGCAAGAACTGCAGATGCATGGGTAGAAATATCTGAGTAGAAGGGTAAGTGAGTTAAGCATGGATGAATAAATAAAAGGAGCAGGAAGACAGGCATGTCTTAAGAAGAAATGAAATGAATGATTCAAAGAGCGAAGGAAAAGGAAAAGCTGATTCAATCATACTTTTTTTTTTTTTTAAAGAGGAAGCAGTAATTTAGATATAGATCTGTGGCCCCTTTTTTAACCATTTTGAAATCCCTTACTCAAATTTAAAAATTCAATTCAAAAAGACTTTATTGTCATTGCACAGTCGTACTTATTAGTACACTAGCACAACGAAATTGTAGCACAGTCCTCCGCGATGCCAAACATACAATTAAAAAGACACAGTCCACTACACAAATTTAAATAAAAATAAGGGGATTCCAGGACCAAAGGCATTTAAAGATGTGGATATACTTTAAAAATAAATAATGTAACGATAATGTACCGATACATACAGGTAATATGCACCGTTATAAACAAATATTACACTAAGTGTTTTATTTTGGGGAAGTGGCAAACTGTACAGAATAAATACTATATACCGATATAGCTGGATAATATACATAAGTGTTTTATTGCACCGATGATGCCCCGAAAGTGTTTATTGCACAGAAAAGAAAAGGGTTGAAAGTCCCACAGTGTTATTGCACGTGGCCCGCAGCTGAAATGACACATGATTGAGTCAGATATTTGCATTTTTATCTAACATTGCTATAGCCCTGTTGTAAAAACTGTGCTTTAACAAAATAAGAACAGAGCAAACAGAGCAAGTACAAGCAAAGGGGTCAAAACCCATGAGAGAAGTGCAGAAGAAGTCTTAATTTATAAAGAACTAAATGGATAAGGAAAAATATGTTTTCAACTGATTTGACCAAGTTTGTGAAGGTGTTCAGTCTGATAAAGTAAAGCAGCACTAGAAAAACTGATCCTTGAAGAGAAAAGATGATCACACAGAGCGGAAAGAGGAAGTAAACTTGTGTAAAAGTAATTCATTATAATATAATTGCAATAACAGACAGACAGACAGATAGATAGATAGATACCTCCAGGTCTCCTTTGGTAATGCAAACCTCTTCCACACGAAACTGCAGATCCTCCACTTTTCTGTCAAACAGGAACAATAATAAAACTCCATCATAAATATTAGATTTCAATATAGATTTTTATTTAATTATTAAATGGGAAGTGAATGAGGTGCATGAAGCCCACATTTATAAAGCTGTGGCGCCTTGGGATGGTCCTTTTAGTGTGATGGTGAAATTTTATTATATATCATCCGACAGTGGCTTCTTGAAGATATCAGCTGAGTCAGTGGCACTTATTCAAAAGATTGAAAAAAAACCCCAACCAGACTTTTTAATATTCTGCTCCAATGGTTTTATGTTGTTTTACCATGTTTTTACGTTTGGACACTTGTATCTGTTGAAATAATAATAATCAGCTAATGAATAATTCATAATTAATTTGGAGCAGGAAGGACATTGTGCTGCTGGTATGGTTCGGAGAACATATAATGATAATTTACAGCAGAAAAGAGAGATGAATGCAAAGTCACTGCAGACAAAATAATTGCCAGTTTAGTTGTGCACCTTGATGCACTCTCACAGGCTCTTCCTTGTCTGCTGTATCTGCTCTCACCCCTCACATTGCACTCTGTGAACAGTATCATGAGTAAAGTCAGACCCCCCACCTTTTCTCCTCCTCCAGCTGGTTGAGCAGTTCCACTTTGTCTCGATCGGCTGCTTCCACCAGCGAACGCAGTTGATCCAGCTTTGCCTCCATCTCGATGGCATACTGAAACATCCGCAAACACAATGCAGTCTATTTAACCTTTAATTCATACTATTACAAAATCTGTGAAAGAGCTCCTACACATTGTCCAACGTGCAATATTATTATTAATATAAAATCTGATTAGAAACGATTTTTGTTGTATGAATTTTTGCTGTGGGCCTCGTAGTAGTAGTCGTATGTGTTGCTCTTGTAAATGTATAAAAAAAGAAGACTTGATATAACTTTTACATTTGACTGTTACACAAGTAAGATTTAAGCCTCTGTCAATTAGAGGCATCATTGTGTCATCATAAATATGTGATTCTTTAAAGGTGCATGTTAAAAAGGTGTTGTGGGTAATAACACGAGACACGGAGAAACAACGTCATCCCATTAGTCATGTTTTCTGACTCCAGCCACTGTCCAGATCTAAGAAATTCTTCTGATTAGGTTTTGTGTCTTCTGTCATATATTTAGTCTATTTTAAATGTTTTTGCTTATTGTATGTTAGTTCAAAAAAATGATTTTTTCTGAATGACTAGTGTTGAACTAACTTAAATAGCTGTGGGTAAAAATATAATTTAACAACTACTTCCAGCAAGCTAACTAAAATCAGTGTTTTTACGCTTAGTTCCTGTTCTCACCTGATCCCTCCCTTTCCTCACAAGAGTCAGCTCCTGCTGCACCTCTCCTGCGTGGCTGGTCGCCTTTGCAACTTCACATCTCTCAAGGTCTCTCTCCGCCAGCAGCTGTTCAATGTGCTGCTGCTTCTCCTTCAGCGCCTCCTGCAGGGCTGTGGTGCCAGAAATCTTCCGAGCGTACCGAGCAGATGTCTCCGTCAGCTGAAACATCACAGCATACATTTACATATAACACCATGCACTGTCTGTTATCAGATATTATTTTACAGGGCATTTTAGACTGCCACAGAATAAAAGGTTTCTGTGGTTCCTAAGGCCTAAGGGTGGCAGGCAAATTTCCCTGCTGTGGGATTGATAAGAAATACTGTAACCAAATAGTTTTTTTGCCTGCATACACCAATGCAAAACATTACATACAATGAGGCCCTAGTGTGTAATCATGTGTCTGAAACTCAGGGGCGCAGTATGGGGCGGTGGAAGTTAGGACAATTCCAAGGGCCCCTGTCAGTATTCAGGAATTGTCCTAACTTCCACCCCCCCCAAATCTGCTGTTTTCATTATTTTGAGATGATGATGTTAATTTATGTTGATTGAAAAGTTGATGTATATTTAAGTTTGTTCGTTTTTTTTTTAAATCTTTCATTAAAGTTAAGAGAATTTTCCATTTCGAAATGTTACAATAAAAAATACATTGAGACTGTAAAAGATGGCCTTTAGCAAATTTTTATGGCGGCTTTTAATCTTGCATCAAATAGTGAATTGCATATGTTGTATGTAGACTGTTGCATGTGCAGCTCACTAGCAGTAAATATTGTGCTAGTACTAGTATTGAACAACAAGAAGCAAGACAGTTGCAAGCCTTTAAAGTTAGAGTTATGTAAATCTTTTGATGGGTCAGTTAGGTCCTAGAGATGGGGTGACAACAGCTGCGCAGGGGGGGGGCCCAATTGTTTTGTCATGGGGCCCAAAATTCCTAAATTGCACCTGTATTTAGTTCACTGGCAACAATTGTAATTTATTTTTAGCACATGTAAGGCTTATGGAGCCGCAAGCAAACAGAGTTCCCTTCCTCTTGTGGTCAGGTTGAGACAACAACAGCACTTTGGTTGTGGTCGGTGAAACACTGACTGTGGTTTCAGCTGAATAAATCCTCCAGTTTTATGCTTTGAGACACTTTGTCTACATTTAACCAAGAGGAAGAGTTGTGATTGCCTAAAAAGTTCATACATGCTCAAATCATGTTTAAATAAAAACAAATGAAATAATAATAACCATTATATACTTTTGAGCCTCCACTAACTCAGCTAAGACACAGTGCAGTTTGGGGGTGAGCTGCAGAACCAGGCCGCATAAAGCCAACAACATTGTGTGGGTCTTACCAGTCCCGCTCGGCTGGGTTTGCCGCTGATTGACGAGGTGGCGGAGCTGAGCGAGCTGATGGAGGAAGCGCTGGGACTCCTCTTGAGAAGGGTGGACCTCCTCCGTGAGCTCTTTGCCTTGGTAGGTGTTGTGCAGGGGAAGCCAATACGCGTCACCTTGTGGACCGGGGCAAACAAGCCAAACCTCGGCATGCACTGAAAGTACCTGAGAGGAAGCCAGGTTGCACCACAGGGTCAGAACCCGGAGACAGAACCAGTGACAGCTGGTTACTATAGAACTGAATTAAAGCAGATGTTATACATTTGTCAATGCTCTTTACCTGGTCCCTGCTACAGCTCCATCATTCTTGCCAAGTGGTTCATCTAGTTCGACTCCACACCAGTCTCCCTTGGCAAAGTCCGTCTCTCCAAGGAACCGCACTACTCCTGCCTTTGTACCTCCCACCTGCACATGAAAAAAATTTGATAAAAGAATGTTTGATTTAGCAAGTTATTGTCTTCTCTACTTGAAGTATATGAAGCTCGCTGATCACTGACCCAATAGGTTTATGATACATTAGGATGAAAACCTGATCAATCCAAATTCACATTTGTTTTAGAAAAATAGTAGATTATTTATATTGTCGCCGTGAGATTGATTTCCGATTCGAGATTTCTTCTAAGTGTGATGTTTCTGTGTTGTAGGTTTGTGTGGGTCCTCTCTCCCCCTCCCCTTTCTGTTCTTTCTGTGTGTGGCAGGGGGCGTGGATGGCTTCTCCTGCAGCAGACGAGGCACACTTGCTTCCACTCAGCTCATCAACCTGCCCATAAAACCCTTGTCTTCACTCCACTGCTCTGCCAGATAATTCCATCTCGTTCGGTAGTTGCTCTGCGTGTGTTCTCTGTTAATGTTCATGTTTTTTCTCCGTTCTGCTCAGGTAATCCTGTGTGCCTTGCTGTTTGCCAACATTGTGTCTTCAGTGCAGAGTTTTTCTTCCATGTGTTCAGCACTCGTGCCGTCCCTGGGATTCTAGCAGCCAGCCTGCTCTCAGCCTCCTCTGCCTGCTCTTCGTTGCTTTTTGTTGAGCAATAAACTCTTTAATTATCTACACGCCTGTGGAGTCTGAACAAAATCAAGACTGACAGTAAGACAGATATAGGGTGAGAATAAGAATTGTCTCTGCATGATAACCAAATTACTGTAAAGCCATTTTCAGAAATGAACTCCGGAGGATATCTGCATAATCTGCGTCTAGACTTTCTCTGAACAACGCAGCAGGAAATTCTCTGCTCAGACGTGTTCAAAACAACAGAGAGATCTCCAGAGTGTTCATGAGAGGGTTGGTGCAGCGGGCCGAGGCAGGATGTAACATATTAATTCTGCTGCAGGGATTACATGTTCTTGTTTACAGCACATCAACAAGCCCTTATCACGGAGAGGTCGTTAGACATTTCGTCGGTGTCTTCTACACGGATGGTGCTTTTTCATCCTCAGCTATTTGTATTTTGTTTTTATTTTTTTATTTTTGTGTCTGTTGTTTCACATCATCATCTACATGCCCACACACTCTCAGTGAATCAGCAGCTTTAGGCGATATAACTACTTCTGAATGATTATTAACTCTGCTCAAAAGCTGTTATGATAACTTACCAGCACACGGTCTACCAGCCTCAGCTCCCTTCTGTTCTTCTTCATGGATTCTGTATCTGAGAGATTTGACACCGACTCGCTGGACGTGAGCATACGGTTTAGCACGCCACTTGTCCTAATGCCAGTGCCCTGAGCTGAACAAAGAAAACATTTTTCGCTGTGTTGATGTGACATAATAAAACAAGAACAACTCAAAGAAGTACTTATACATTTGAGAGATGTTACCAGATGAGGTAGAGCCAACAGGTGCAGGCTGGACTGTTGCAGAGGCTGCTTCTGCTGGGCTGGGCTGGCCCCCGTTTTCCTCCTTCTCTGGCAGTGCAGTCCTGGATAGCTTTGAAGGCCGCGTGAATATCCCCCTCCCATCCTCACACTGGAAGTACCGAACCCCTGCCACTGACCCGTCATTCTTCCCGATCGGCTCGTCCAGCACGATGCCCGCCCACTGCCCGGGTGCGAACTGTGTGCCCCCGATAAATTGCACACAGCCGGGCTTGTTGCCATTGACCCAGACCCTTTCCCCTAACTGGAAGTCACCACTTCCATCTGGAGTTGGGGAGGTCACACTACCAGGGGGCTTCTCAGGAGGAACTGGCTTTGGAGTACCTGCAATCACAATTTCCTTTTTATTAGCCTTTTGTCATTTATACAGTCGTATACAGGTCAGTTAAAAACTCCAACTTCCCCGCCATCTCTTTGTTTTTACTAAAACCTTGGTCCTTACAGCATGTGCCTTTGTTGTGGAAGCAGTGAAAGGAGCAAGTTCAGGACACACACCAAGAAATACTGTGACACTGCAGCCCTCTTTTAGTTTCAATATTCAATTTCAACTTGTTGCAGTATGAGTGCAGATAAGCCACACTTAATTATTTTATTGTGGAAATGAAAATACTCATGACTGCCTCCACCAACACTCACATATTCAAAGGTTAATTGTTGCAAGAACTGCTTGGGTCTTACCTGAGGACGGAGACGTCCTTGTTGGCACCCCTGATGGACGGACTATTTTACTGGGGGGTTTGAGTCCGCTGACCTTGCCTGGTGTCGTCATGGCGACTTGTTTGTCCATGGCTGCGGATTAGGAGAGGTGTGCGGGGCGTCTGGCCTGATCAAGGTGGAGGACTAGGCCTTCCCCACCACCCCACACTGTCCCAGTATGAGGGAAGAGAGCTGAAACAAGCAAAACTGTCCACTCAGTTATTTTAAAAACAAAAGAACAAATCAATGAACTGGTGCACAAATGTCACAGCTGCAACAAGTGTGGGAACATGACACAAACTAAGATCCAATAAAACCAGCACCGTAACCACACCAGGACCAGTTCATTTTCTTCTGTTGACCAGTTGTCAGAAAGACCATAAAAACCTTTTCATCTGCTCTGCAGTCAGTCAATAAACACGACAGTATCTCAGTGGGAGTGGCTCCGCTGCTTAGCGACTGAGCTCTGGACCATCCTCAACACCTCACACAAGTCATACCGCAATGTTTATTCCTGAGCTATAAATGATCGCGCTAGCAAAGCTGACTGCACATCACATGTAGTTTCACTCTATGTCCCTGCTCTGGGGCCATGAGGACAAATGCCTTTTCATTAACTGCACTTGTCAAATTAAGAGCGACTGATTTTTGACCGCAGACACTAAAATAAGATGGTTTCCCCCTGCAGGTCTGTGAGAGGTGGACAGCAGTTTGACTGTGCTGCTAATTTACTCATGAGGCTGATGATTCACTTTAACTGCAACTAGGTCAACGCCGACTTTATGTTTAATTTACCAACAACTGTGTGTTCAATATAATCACAATCATAGGTTACATAGACAAATATAGACATAACGAAGATTACAACAGCTTCAGCTTGTTGGTAATTTTGAAAGCAAATATGTGAAACTTTGAATTAAATCCACTTGATCTGAGTGATTTACTTATGGAAGTTTGGGGCCATTGGTTTGGTTCTGCAAACCCTCTGACTCTGTTTTATATGTATTGAGGGACAGATGTCAAATACCACATAGTTTCTTTACAATGGTTGGTTTGATTACAGGAAACATTGGAAAGAGTATAAAGATCCTCCAGTGTGAGCGCAGGCTTGATGGATTATAAAGCAGGTTTGGAAGATGGGATCTCCTCCACTGTTTTTTATGATCATGTAAACTCAACATTTCATGTAGGTGCAGGCTACACAAGTAATTACAATATGTTGACTTGAAATATAAATCAAAAGAAATTCAATTCGCAATCGATCAAATAAATCAGACCAAACTGATATTGTGTCTCACGGGTCCCCAGGGGTCTGGGCACCCCGAGCCGTCGATCGCAGTGGACCGGGCAGGAGGAGGATGCTTCTCGGTGTGTGACGTTACCTGAGAGCCCGCCCCGCCCAACCGGTGCAGCCGCACCAAAACAACAAGCACACCCTGGGACTGTCAGCCCTCATCCCGCGGCTTCTTCCGCTGTCACCACTTCGTCCCCCCCCCCCACACTGAGGCCGCTGAGCACAAAACACACAACAACCTCCAGAAGAACAACCACAGCGACACAACCGAGATCCACTGCTGCAGCGGGCAGACACACGGGAGAGCCCGGGCCCGTGGTGTTGATGCCTGGGCTCTTTTCTCTCCCCACCTACGCTGCCTCCCTGGAGCCCGTTGGGGATAACTTTGTCGGGAGCACTTTTCCCTCGCCACCCCGCACATTGGATGTCCGCTTACAGGGATCACACGTGAAGTGTGGCGGCTTCTCCCGGAGCTTTGAGCCCGATGGAACTTTTACTCTCGGTGCTGTTCAGTGTCGCTTGCTGGAGTACCACAGCTAGCTAGCTCCAGATTAGCACGGCAGAACAAACTGGGGGTTTACCGCCGAGGAGCCTGACGCCGTGTTGAGGCGACACTAAAGCAGAATAGAAGCAGCGCCGTGTTTGTGGAGGCTTACTTGGTGTTTATGGCGCTGAGCTGGGTCTCAGGGCGGGATGTCGTGGCTTCACTTCCCCGAACCGCTCGTCTCCACTGCCCGACAACATGACGTCAGCCTGGGCTCTAAAACGCTGCCTTCACGGACCGGAAACACGAGCGCGGACATCCCAGCATCATCCGAGATTTGATTCGTCATATGTTCAAGTCTCTTCTCGGGAGACCAATCTCAAAGAGACAAAGTGACTTCAGACAACTCATTGGCTTGTTTTTGTTTGTTGTCATTTGAGTCTCTTTATATTTGCATCTTTGTGTATCATTTTGCATCTATTTGCGTGTCATTGGCAGTTGCATTGATGCTCTGTTGAAGCACAGTCTCAGTTGTCATTTTGCATGTATTTGCAGTTGTTTTTGAGTCTTTATAGTAGTTTTATGTTGTGTCAGTAATTCTGCATCCATTTATAACTGATTGAGACTTCTTCTTTCTTTATAGTCATTTGTCTTTTTAACAAAAAAATGTGAGGCACAAGGGTTTCGCGGGCCCTGAGTCCCGGTCCCCCATTGGCCCATTCAGTAATACATCTATGTTGGCCATTGAAACATCACTTGTGCTTTCAATATGAATAAAATGGGACAAAATCCACTGTCTTTGTGTGTGTTTTTCGTTTATGAAAATGTTTATCCAAAGCCGGACGTGGCACCTAGGAGTAAGGATCACAGCAGAGCAGTTGGAAAATGCATAACAACAAGTTCATTGCTTGTTCTGTACGTGTTCGTCATGTTACTGCACAAATATCAAAGAAGGTTAAATCTGTCCAAATAGAAACTCTTCGGGTTTGTCCGTAAAAATGGAGTGTGGACTAAAATCTCCTGATCTCTTTCAGAGGTTTTACAGAAACCATTCAAACCAGATTAAAGCTTCTGATATTTCTTAGGAAGGTGCTTCTTTATCTAATTGGATTATGAATTTCACACTAAATGAAAACCCACAATAATAAAGTTGAACCAAAGCTCATATAGTATGATGTGTCAGTAGACTGACTCAGTCAAGTATGTTATAAAGTTGGAACATTTCAAGTATACATCTCGTTTGTCCAACCCATTCATCTGTTGAGTAATAGGGGAAGAATAGAAAAAAAGGACATTTTGAATAAAAATGACTAACTTTGGACAACATGCAAACACGATTTAACTTATTTAGTCATGGCAGTCCTGGGTTATTGGTTTGGTTTGGCAAACCCTGATTCCTGTTCCAGTATATTTGTTAGGGGACGGAACTCCATACCAAATATATCAAAATGTGCATTTATAGTTTTATTATTATAGTGAGTTTAATTGATGACCCATTGAAAAGACTAGGTAGATAAAATGGTAGAAATAGCATCCACTGTTAGTGTAGGCTAACTAGATAAAAAGATGGGTTTGTAGATTGGGATCTCTTGGGAACTTTTTAGCGAAGATTTCAACAGAGGACAAAATGTAGCACTAAATATTTTTAATTGATGCCTCAATTTCTCACCACTGTTATTAAGTATTGTTGGTGGGTCTGTGTCCATGTAATCATGTGGAGACTTTTCTGTCATCATGTGTCCAATATTTCTATGCAAATAATCAAAATCCTATTTGCATAATGATATACACAGTCTCTTTATTCTGGACAGCCAACAAGACAAGACCAAAAGGAATATGGCAAATTAAAGTGCTATGTTTGCCTACTGTTTAATTTATTTATTGAAAACAATACAGAATATGTACAGAATAAAATGTGC